TGTGCGTCTCTCACAGATATTAACTTATTTATTTGAAATACACTCAAGTACTGGAATTTATTTTTGAAATTAGATTTTTAAAAATGTATGATACTTCTCGAATTTTGTAACTGGGCCAAGTTCTATTATTGATTTTTGATAAGTGCATAGAATATATTCGTACTTTCAAAGAAGTATAAATTACTTCATTGCACTTTAAAAACTAGGATTATAAACTTAAATTACTGGCTTGAACTCTGCATGGTATGATAACTCTGATATCACTGTTCTGCTGCAAGACATGATATACTCGGGGTATCTGCATCTTTCTCTAATTTATACTTCTCATTCAGAATATAATATAGAACAGAGATAATAAAGATTCAATAAGACAGCAAGTTTAAAATCAGTTGTGTCTGCTATATAATATCTACTTATTCTAATTTCTTTTAAGTTACCAGAAATACTGTATTTCATACTTTCATGCTTTACTACAACTGCTTCTTATTTGAAACAAGTATAAATACATAACAGTATGGATTTATCAAGAATTGTTTATTTCAAATATAGGAAGATTCTGAAGATACTGTCTTCTGAATTGTCATTAAAATGAACCGTTACTCTACAATGTAGGCAGAGACTTCCCAAGTTGATAAACATGACTTATTTTTGTGCTTCTTCACGTAACTTTGTCCTTTGATCTTCTGCCAAAGTGCAAGTCTTGCTTATTTTTGTGATATTTTACTAAACAGTAGGATCAGTTACTTCTTCCTAATTACTGATTTTATAAAATCTTGTAACATCTATCTTGAGTCTGTTGGCCTCTCTGGTTATACTAGTTATAAAAATTCATAAGCTTATCAGTATTATGACTCCTTTCATTCAAGATTTGTTCATTTTCCATTTATATGTTCAGCTGCTCAGTCATACTCAGAAATCAGATTACCTACCACTTTATTTTTGAAGTCATCTCACATGGCAATTACCCAGTTGGGAATTTCCACAGAAATTCTTTGTGGGAAGGATTGCTTTGTAACTTACAGAGATTTGTGCTCCCACCATGGTCACTGGTGCCCTGGGCATGTTTCATCATGGCTGCCATGGTCCGCACCTCAGGATTGTGTGATTGATCAGGAATGAAAGAGTTACAGTGTCATTTATACCTTCGTTGGTTTTTAAAATTTGGCTCTAAATGAATTGCTAAAATGTGTAGATTACTAGATCTACTGTGAGATGCTCTGCTTTGACCCTTTTACTCTCTCACACTGTATTTTCTTAACAAGTTGTGGGAATGTGCTATCAGGGTGAATTTTAGGAGAAAGTGATGGCGGAAGGGTAGTGGTCGCAGCGTTATAAACTTCTTTAATGTCTTTATATGCTGCAGTCAGAGATGATATTTGAACTTAATCCAGTGCAATTTCCATCTTGTTCAACTGAGAAAATGGCTCTTATGGGAATTCTTTTGACTGATTCCACCTGCCACAGGGTATTAGCAGATTAGAGCAAACATTGGGAGGTGCCCTGTGTCATCTAAGTGAACAATGGCACATTTGTTTGCTTTTCTGCCTCCAAGGATATTTGAAGGTCAACTTTTGAAGAGAGTGTTTTGTGAACATAAAAATGGCTTTGTGCTTGTGCAGAAGTAAACAGATACTTTGAACAAAGGAGCATCTTTCAACCATATAGCTACAAATAGGAAAGGGAGCCTAACATGAGAGACAGTTCTCTTTGTGTCAGCTTTCCCAGTGTTGCCAGGGTCTCCCCCATGCCTAGACATCTCCCTGGCAAGGAGGCCCCAACTTAGAGATGCTCAGGATCTGACTGAACCTGCAAACGCTCACCAGCAGCCCTAGCTTCATTTGACATGGAAGAAAATCCAGAAGGGAAGTGTTAGAAGAAGCAGTTTTCCTTTGCTCAATGTTGCATCCCATAAAGGATT